CCCAGAGAGCCTCACAGCTGATGGTCCTAGAGTCTGTGCCAAAAGTTGTAAGACTGAGATGAAGGTGGTATGGTTTTGTTATTTTTCAGTGGCTTCTAGTTAGGGAGAGCTGAAATTCCTGTCCTAAAGAAGGACTGGTCAAACTAAGGGACAGCGTTCAATCCTTTGTACCAGTTTGCCATCCAAGGGCATTGTTGCCCGGATGTATTTGTGATGAGAGCAGATTCAGCACCTGTCAGGTCAGAGGCAGCTTATGGGTGTGGAAATTTCCTAAGACAGTGCACCTTATGTGAACCCATCATTGTGTCAGACAGCATCTCTGTCATTTCTCTGGGAAAGTCTAATGTCTGGACATCCCTGATCCAGCAAAAAACTCAGGTTATTCTTCTCTTTGCCCTTACTGATTAAATGGAGGATCTCCAAGGTTTTTACTTTAGCAGAGCTGATCTTAAATTTCCTCTTGCATATGCCCAGTATTTGCTGATGATAAGAGGTTATCTGCTGAGCTGTTAATGTGACACCTTTTGTGATGGTTGCATTCACATGAGTACACTTTTTTTTTCTTTTTTTTTTCCTTTTTTCCCCCCTTTTTCCCCTATTCGTTTTTTCCATTTTTCTTTTTAATATTGGAAAAGTAAGGAATACAGGAAACATGCAAACATTCTGGTCCTCTTGATTAAAAATTTCTGGCCTGTGTTAAAAAATTATCAACAGCAGCAAAGCATTAGAAGACAAGGCTATTTCATTTCTCTGTCACAGGCACTTAAATAATCCTGGAAGGAGTCTTAATTGAAGGACTGATTTTTCTTTTTCCTTTTTTTGTAGAACTCAAAGCACAAGCAGAACCTAACAACTATTTGGCTACGTTTTTATAGTCACAGTTTTACTATTTAGTCCTGTCTCTCCTTCCTTCTCTGCTGCCCATCCCTGTGTGAGTGGGAATAAGCAGAATAGAAAGTGGGAATATGTACAGCAGGGCTGGCATTGGAAGTGGCGTTTGGCCAACATCAGTTGATTTGCTGCTGAAAGACAAAGCCCGTTTGCTTGTTTATTTTCTGATGCTGATGAAGTTTTGCATGTGGCTGGATTTAGAGCAAGAATCCAAAGAGGATGGCTGGGATCCAGGCAGTGGCCACCAATCACTCTGGGGGAGATGTTGACAAGTGGCCCAGACTTTGCAGTGTGTCCAAAAGCAGGGGGAGAGTGTTCATTAAACAGAAGCTTAATCAAACAAGGCAGGAGGATGGTTTACATGAGAAAAGATATATTCTTTACTTAACATTCACAACTTGCTTGTGGATTAATTAGCCCATCTGCTGCAACAAATGTATTCCCATGTCTTTGTGTTGACTATTAAAAGTGACTGATTTTTCTATCCACTTAAAATAGTACCCTGGATTCCACTGAAAGTAACCTTTCCAAAGCAAGGAATTTATTTAATCATCCACTAAGAACCTTTAAGTGGCTTGCTGTAAATAAGTGCTCAGCTGTGTACAGCTCCCAGGGTAACTATATATGGGTGTTAAGATGAGGGATAATGCAGAAGGCAGAAAACCCTTAAAGAAGCTATGTGAAGAGAGCTTCCAATCTGTAGGCTTTAGGTTTTAAAATAAATTCTCTCCTCCCAGCCCCGAGTGGGCAGAACAACTGCCAGCATAGACTAATTCAACTATAGATTTTCTTCTCAGAAAGGTGGCATTCATAAATTAGGTGACATGTATGCAGATGGAAAAAGTGCATTGATGAACTTAAATTTAAGCAAATACTGGGTGTCCAGAGTGTCCAAAGTGCTTGTATTTCATAAGAAACCAACATAAAGGATGGAATGTTTTTAAAGTCTTTAAACTAAACAGGCATTTAAATGAAAACAGAGGTCAGCCTTAGGTTCCCAGGAAAAATTAAAATATGTATCTTTTGTGATGTTTCACACTCAAATGATTCTAAAATATTATTATTCTTTGGAAATAAAATTTGCATGTAAATGGCATTGTTGTGAATTTACGTCTGTTTCCTCAGAATAAGTGATAAGTATTGACTGATGTGAATAAACAGAGCTGGTTTCAAAAAAAAACCAACAAAACAAAACACAGTAATGTATTTTGTATGCAATCCAAATATATTTTTGTTTTGCTGATATGGATCCATAGTAAAACAGACAACTTGTACCAAGACCACATGGTTCACCTGGGATACAGAAGGTTTGTGTGTTTTATACTTGAATAGAGGAAAAAATTGATACAGTGCTATGTGGTATTTATTCCCAAGCATTTGTGTTTGGGAGAAACACTATATAGTTATCTGAAACTTTAAAAGTATTTAAAGGATTTTGGGAGGCAGGAAAGTAATTTTTCTATTCCTAGGGCCTTAGGAATGAAGGTTCCTCAAAAGGCCTGTAGGGCTCTCTTGTTATAAAAACTAGAAATTGTGAAAAATTGTGTTCTTTGTAGGATCTGAGTTAGAGGCAAGAATGAAGCTGAGGCTGGAACTGAAGGGTGACTGGAAGACCAAGGTTTGAAGCCTCTATCAAACCATAATTGCCTCTATCAAATGGGACTGAGTCTGCACATCCTGGCAGTATATTGGAGAGGGACTGCAGAAGCTTGATCCTGGGGGAAATTTCTTCTATTCTCTTATAACTTGTTTTTTGGCTGTTCTGGCCCATCTTATATACCACTGATAATTTTCCATGCAATTTAGATTAACATAATTTGATGGATGATAATTTAAATTATAAAATCTTAACATGTGTGACATTATTCATCAGAGAACTTGTGCATATGTGTTAAACTTAGGTGATGGTACTTCTGGGCATCCCAGGCATCCAGCACAGGGACTTCTGAGCTTTTTTATGTGTAGAAGTCTGTTCAGGTAATTTCTGGCCTTCTCATTACCACACACAGCATCAGGGCTAGTTAGAAAGGTCAACTGACCTTTGCATTGGTGGCTACACTACAATGTGGTTATTTTACATGTCGTCTTGAGTAACATGTTCACAAAAGTGTTGCTTCTTCGGAAATTGTGTCAGAAAGCTAGTTCTACCTTATACTTGAGCACACACTCTGGAAATGTATTGAATTGATACATACATGTAATTAGTGGTCACAGCTGTATCGTAACCATCCACATTAATAGACAGGAGCATGGTTACATGTGTTACCTTAAATATGACATTTGCAATTGCAAATGCTTCTCCTGGCAGGGTTAAAAATGTTACTGAAGGCTGCTGAAGGGCTTCATTGAGTTTGCTGGTGGTGTTCTTGCTTGCATGTCTTTCCTTTTTTGACAAGCAAGTTCCAAGAATTTCTTGAATGAAAGAGTGATGGGGCAAAACATGTTTGTTTTCAACCAGTATTTGCAGGCACTGGGGATAAGTCAGTTAAGAGGTATTTCTTCTTTCTGGCAAGGGTTTGGTTTAATTCATTGAGCAGAAGTTTTTACGACTTCACCGTCTATACAAGAAAGGTAATTTGGGCATGAACTAGTGGAATCCTGATTTGCTGCCAGTGAGAGATTTTCCCAGGAATATAAATTTTAATCCTTATATATTCACGTTTGTTACTAAAAAACCCTGTTACCTTAATATGACATTTGCAATTGCAAATGATGCTCCTGGCAGGGTTAAAAATGTTACTGAAGGCTGCTGAAGGGCTTCATTGAGTTTGCTGGTGGTGTTCTTGCTTGCATGTCTTTCCTTTTTTGACAAGCAAGTTCCAAGAATTTCTTGAATGAAAGAGTGATGGGGCAAAACATGTTTGTTTTCAACCAGTATTTGCAGGCACTGGGGATAAGTCAGTTAAGAGGTATTTCTTCTTTCTGGCAAGGGTTTGGTTTAATTCATTGAGCAGAAGTTTTTACGACTTCACCGTCTATACAAGAAAGGTAATTTGGGCATGAACTAGTGGAATCCTGATTTGCTGCCAGTGAGAGATTTTCCCAGGAATATAAATTTTAATCCTTATATATTCACGTTTGTTACTAAAAAACCCTGCCTTTCTACCCTGGCACAATATATTCTCATCTCTACAGTAGCTCGCAACAGTTAGGTCCTGTGCGGTGGTTAACAGCAGTTCCACTGCTCTGGAAACAGCAGATTGGTGTTTTCTGTGTAAGGATTTTGCACGCCCCTGTGTCCAAGGGTTTGGCTGCTGACTGCCACTGACAAGCTAGCCCTCACATTTTGTAGCAGGCTGATACTTGGCAAGTTTGCCCTAAACACCTGGATTCATATGAATTTAGAATCACCAAGCCTTGCAGTTATCTTTTTAAATACCAGAAGGCCTAAGCTAGACTGGGAGGAATTTGCTACTTTGTCTGTAACAGAGAAATTTTGCTGTAGTCTTTTGATTTTGCCAAGCTGTGCTGCAGTATTATATTTTCTGGTTTATTATTTGTCTGTTTGTAGCAAGTTGTTTCTTCGGGGGTTTTTTATTTCAATTTCTCTTTCCATTAAAGTGTAACAGCTGAGTGTGTTAGTCAAATCTTCCTATCTTTGGTCTTAATGATTGCATAATGGCCATAGCAGATAAGTGACAAAACACTGAAAATTGGCCTTGTTTCTTTTTAGATCTCAGAGACATGTTTATTGACATCTGCATTAATAACAATCCTGTGCCAGAAACCCTGTAAAACAGTTGCATGACACAGAAAATGCTGAAATTGGAAATTAAAGACACCCCTCCTTTTTTATTTGTATTTTATGAGAGAAATATTTTTAAATGTCCTTTTTAAATGCGGTAGTTTATTTGCTGTGTTTGAATTCCATTGGGACAGCTATGGAAGAGTTCAAACCATTTCTAATTTCTAGCAAAGATTAAAGAATTTATTCTTTTTTCCCAGTCTTATCTTCGCTCTTGCGTGAATGCCAAAATAAGGTCTAGTCAGTGTCAACATACAGCTATGTACTACACAAACTATTAATCCCCCTATATTTTAGACCCATATTTTTATGCCATCTTTTCTCTTGTGAGTAATCTTTGATATATTTTTCTGGGTTTCTGTAGGTCAATGGGAAGGACCTCTCCAAGGCCACTCATGAAGAGGCAGTGGAAGCTTTTCGTAATGCCAAGGAGCCAATTGTTGTTCAGGTTTTACGACGAGCCCCAGTTACCAAAGCTCCTTGTAGCTCTCAGGATGTTCGGCTTGTGGATGCCAGCACCCAGACTGACATCACTTTCGAGCACATTATGGCTCTGGCCAAACTAAGGCCTTCCACACCACCAGTTCCTGATATCTGCCCTTTTCTGCTTTCAGACAGGTATGACTTGGCTTCTCATGCTGTTTACCCATGGTATTGAGTCATTGCAGTGGTAGGTTTGTAGTTTTCTGCTAAGTCTTGAGTATTTTAAATAAACTATAAATGTCATGGATAACCACTGTCCCATTTGGGCTTCAGTGATGGTTTTCCTAAATGCTGCTTATGGGTTAGAGCTCCATAAAGGAATCTTGGCCATGTTTATTTTGTGTTCATGTGTTAGTTCATCCAAAACTAAGCCCTAGTCAAGACTAAAAACACTTGTGTTCAAAAGTACCAAAAAAACTTCTTCAAACCTAGAAAGACCTGTCTTGTTGCTTTATGTTCTTCCCAGTTTCTTACCAAGGAAACAAATTATTGAATTGAAAGAACCCCTTATCAGAAGAAAAATAGTTCCAAACCTACAGAAATCAAACATACAATTTCACCTGTCATATTGCAAATGATAGGAATTGTATTATGCCTGAGCCAAATTATTTAAAAATTAATTGAATGCGAACATTAGCAGGTGGTACTTATACAAAAATAGGGTGTAGGCTCCTTCCTCTTTAGACTCCCACCTCATGGGTAAAATCATGTAGTGCTTGGCCCTTTCGCTCTATCTGTAGCCAGCAAAACTGTGATAGCCCTGGAGCTTTTCCACTGACTTCATGCCATGTACCTCTGCAGAATTGGTACTAATGGAGAACATACCACTTCTGAATGTAATGTAGCTCCATTTTTAGAAGTTCTAGGTAAGGTGGGTAGATTATTATCCTGGAGAGAACATGCCAGCTAAATGCTGAATTGAGCCTACCACTTACTGCTGCACAAGGATAAGTGTATAAGTTTGAGGTTTTACTGGATATTTCTGAACTGCGTGCTACTGAGATTGAAGTTCTCATTAAGCCCTCAGCATGGGGAGGTGTTTTCTACCTCTGCTAAGATAAGTCCACACTGGATGCTGTGTGGTTGCGGTCCAGCCATGAGTCTAAGGCTGTATGTAAAGACATGCACATTGTAAAGAACTCATTCTTTGAGTTCCAAACTCATTTAACAGTGCAGTTTACTGACATTTTTTAGATGTGCAGTTACTTAAGTGCACTTTACCACCCTGTTATCACTTCGACAGAAGAGGATAATGCAAGTTCTTGAACAATTTGTCAGCCTGGTGTTGGTTGTAGCTTGTGGATGTTCAAGATTTTATAACCAGATAATTAGTGAGTTGCCCCCAGCCATAATATAGCATGTGAATATAGAGTTAGGTACATTTATGAGCATAAAGAATTGTCACAATTCAGTAGTTTGGCCCGAAACGGACCCTTTTAAGAAATGACCCTGTGTAAATCTGATAAAAGACGAACACAGCAAAATTAACTCAGCCACAGTATGAGTGCTTAAAAAGAAAACAGCTTGTGTTACTTCTTGGTACAGAACCTTCCAGGCTGTCAGGCTATTCAGAGTAGCATTCAAGAGATGAGAAAACTACAGAGAAGCAAGGGGGTTTTATCACTTTTTAATTTAAAAAAACCCTATTGTCTCATCTACTGTTGTTGTACTGCTTTGTTCCACATAGCTGCCATTCTCTTCACCCAGTGGAGCATGAATTTTATGAAGGTAATGAGTATCTTTCCAGCCTGCCTGCTGATGCAGATAGAGCAGAGGACTTTGAGTATGAGGTAAGATCACTGACACACTGCAGCCTCTCTCTCTGTTCTTACAGATATGCTGTTTGCAGAGCTGATAGCAGGCTCCTCTGAATAAAATAGGAGTGGGAATACTTCTTTAAAAATCGACACCAAAGACTATTTTATACCTGTGTAATGTCACAGGCTTTACTGGGGTTAGGCTACAGATGGGAAATGTGAAAGCAGAATTCTGCAGTAGGTGGCTACATACAAGTCCAGGAGGCTTATTAAGCATGGACCCTCTTTGTGCAGTGGAGACTGCCACTCAGATGCTTTGCTTTTAGCAGTTTCAATACTTTCAAACAAGGCATTACAAAATTAAAAATGGTAACTGAAAGCTTAATTGCTTCCCCCCCCCAATTTTAAGAATTAATTTGCCTTGCACCTCATGCCTTAGGGATCAGTCTTCCAGATGCTTCAGTGTGTACTTCAGTGCTTATAAGATCAGGCTACAACTTTGAAAAGGAATGTAATTTCTATTACTTGCTCTTTGATATTTGACATTGTAAGTATTACATTCATAAGAAATTGTGCTCTGAACCGCAAATCTCCCTTTGCTGTTAGCGCGTGTGTGTGACAAGTGTGGATGTTTTTCTGAGTTACTGGAAAATCATTATGTGAGGCTTCCCAAAGTGATAACATGTGATTGATGATGTTGGTCTTCATTAGTTTTTCATTTCAATATCTAAATAGTCTTATTGTCAGCCAGTCATTAGCTTTTCATGTTTTCCACTATCATCCAGTAACAAAATATTTGTAGGGACAGGCATAAGAAGCAGATGGTTCTTTGTATTATTAAACAGTGCTAAGTCTTTGCATAAGTTCAAGTTACTCTATTTTAAATAAGAATTATTATAAATAATTAAAAACTTTAATAGAAGATTAACCATACCCTATTGTCCTGTTTGCTCTACTTTAAGAAACCTTTTCAAAGGTTTCATAGAACTGGTTGACATTTAGAAATTAAATGGATGGCAAACGCTTTGGCAAATATTCAGTGTGTTCACATCTACGGTGTCTTTTTCAGCTAAAATGCTCTATTGCAAATTCAGCCTGTCATTCTTTTCTTCTAGCAGCCCAGGCAATCAGATGTTCTTCCTCCAGGAAGCAGAAAAATCAAATAACAACTACTTAGTAAATCTCATTCAGAACAAGCAAACTTCTATTTGAACTCCTTAAAAAAAACATTGCTAGGGATTAGCAAAATCATTATTTCTTTCCAGTTGGGTTTTGGTGTGATATCTCTCAGTATAAGGTTCTCAGAGCTTAAGTTCTGTTTTGAGTCTCCCCATGTAATGTAGTATTAAATTTAGCTTTCAAGTGTATCTGTTTATGGTACTTCTTCATTAAATGTAACAGAAAAATTTCTAGCAATATTTAAATAAATTAATAATATAAGCATCTAAAATATTTTCAAATAGTTTGATAAAAGCATTTTTCACAATTTAATCAGAATGTCAGTGGCATGTTAAAATACTAAGAGATTTCAAATTTTTAAAGTGTCTACCTGGTGGAAACAAATCCTCCTTATGGCCATTAGTAATTCCTAGTAATAACTGGCATAACTTTGTGACAATGACAAGTGCTTCAGCAGGTTCTCAGTTGCTTGTAATCTCTGCTAATCACACCGTCATAGTCATTAAGTTGCTGTCAGCTGTGATTCAGTTGCCCAAGGCAAATTCACTGAGTGACTGAAATAAAGTGCTTCATGGGATATTTAAATAGGGAAGGAACTATCAAGCTTCTTTTGAGAAAAATGCTTTCTGCTACATATGAAAGTTTTGAAGGAGAAACAAGAATGTCTCAGAACCTTTAACCAGTAGAGCTCTAAACATGGAAGATGTTCCCCAAATTTGAGCTCATCAGGTAATATTATTTCTTAGGTTACTCATTGGTTGTATTAGCTGTTATTTCAGGTCTTCGTAAGATGTTATTAAGCTCCCTTGCTGTAACGAGGTAGCTGGAAAAACTGAGAGCATTGTCCCCAGAGATACATTAAAAAGTCTCATGAAGAACAGAGTCAGAAGGGATTTACTAGCTACTTTTATGAATCCAGGGGAAAACCAGCAGGAGAGTGAGCAGAGCAGTTTGTGATCCAGTGCTGTCAAGGTCTCTACAACAATATTGGCTTAGGTGTACCCTGTCCTGCCCTTGCCCTGCAGTTTTCTGGCCCTCAGTTATGCCAGTGTTACTTTTTTGTGAAAGAGATGTGAAAAGTAATCCAGGTTGTTTGGGGTTTTTTTAAATAGATTTTTAGTAGAGTTGTTATCAGCCTCACCCAGCTACCTGATGTAATTTCCAGCAGAACTCCTCGAGTTGCTATGCTGTGGCAGCAGTATCAGGGAAAGAAAAAAAATCTTATACCCTTCAGAAAACAACTTATAAAATCACCATTGGCTGTCCACCATCTAAGGGTGAAAGCAGCAAGAAGAGGTGGAGCAGAAGCTTTGTTTTGCTTCTGCTGCCCTGTGGCCTGCAGACTGGGTAGAAGAAGCACAGAAAATTCTCTGTCTCCCTATTTTATTTCTCCTGGGTTTAGGGAAGAGAGTTTTATTGTTATTAGTGTGCTTAGTGTAGAAGGGGGATTATATCAGCACTGCCTGGTTTTATCATTGTTTTTTTCCTTTGTAACAACTTTCTGGTGTGAACTTAAGCTAATCACACACAGCAAAAAAACCCCTACCTGATGTCAGGAGTATGGTACCGTTTCCAGACTGCACCTTAGCCTTCCCCTTATGCAAAAAGGATACAGATAAGCAGCTCACAGGTCTCCATGGCCAACTTAATAATTGTTAAATGGATTCAAAGCCAAACCTGGAGATTTCAGGAAGAGACTGAAACAAGATAGTGAGCAGAAAAAATACTAGAGCAACACTTCGTTATTTCCTAGAAATGGTTTGCAAATGAAGAATACATCCGTTCTGAGACACAAATGCAAAATACTCAACCAAGTTAGGAAGTAAGTAAATAAGATGGCTGGCAACTGTGGTGATGTAAAAAAGAATCTTTTCCAAGAAAGGGGATGTCCTGTAAAGCTTTGATCAGCTTGGAATTTTTGAGAGATACATGCTGACGTTTAAGTATCTGAGTTACCACTATAAGAAACAAACAGGAGAGTCACATATGACAGCCAGCACTGGGGATGTGGGCTTAGACTTGCCACTGAATTTGGTAGGATTAGACACTTACAAGACTCTTCTGCACCATTTGTAAGCTAGAAAAACCTAGTGGGCTGTACTTAGATTGTCACAGCACAATAAACTGAAGTATGAGCCAATTGTCTTGGAAGGATGAACTCCTTATGAGGCTCATTAGGATCCAAACGTACCATACTTTAAAAAAATGGCTGGGAAGGTGACAATGCTGGAGGATTGCTGATAGCCAGCTTGAGCATCCTTTTGTTGCTGCTGCAAAACTTGTCCTAAAAGGAATCCGAATTGCTGGTAGATATTGAGACAGAGGTCAGAGACTGTTGGCAGAAAGAAATCAAAAGCTTTGCAGTTCGGGTGTAACCAGGTACCCATTAGAACTTTTCAGATAAAGCAGGAATTGACCTGTAAATGTTTATAAGCTTGTAAAAGCTCAGTTGAACTTGCATTCAATATCACTAAAAGAGAGCCAAAAGATGTTTCAGACAAACCCACCTGTCAGGCTGTGAGTGGCTGTTGCACTCCTGGAATTAGATCAAGTGGCATTAGAGTATACCTCACACTCTCTGGTATCAGTGAGGTGAAAGGACTGAAAGCATCAAAGCCCCCAGTAAAACTGTGTTAAAGAAGGCTCTAAAGCTTGTCCTTTTAAGAAGAGCAGAGGATGCTGGTGCTAGAGAAGAGTAAAGAAGTTAATGGATGTGCACTTCTTTAATAACATTTCTGAACCCACTATCCAGGATAGAGATACATTGTTTGCTTCTTTTGGAATGCTGGCAGTTATTAAGAAATTAAGGGGGAAAGTCACTTAAATATGGAACAGTGAAAAAATAGGTAAAGAACCCTTAAAGAATGTTGTAAATACAAAGATGAACAGAGAGAGCGTCACTGATATCTAGTCCTTCATAGTCATTCTGAGGAGACTCTTTCAATAGGAAAGATGGAAGAAAATAAGATGTTACAAGCAGGTGCAAGCAGGCAGTGTTGCTTAGTCAACATGTCCTTGTCCAAGGATAAGAGACCTTTGTATCATCTATGTACTGAAGCAGCTTTTGAGCAAAAGCAGAACGTGAAGTGATAGGTTTCTGCTGTGAAGCCCAGTATCTCTGGTGAATTAATATCTCTTTTAAAAAGTCATGTATCTGAGATAGGAAAAGATTCTTATTTCTAGCTGAATGCTTCTTAAGAACAGTGAATGTAGACATCCTTGAGAAAGAATAGTGGTGAGTCAAGGTAACTCTTGTTACACATATGAGGAAGAGTGGGCTGAAGTTTCCTCTGAGAATTGGGGGGAGGGGGGGGCTTGGAGGGAGTTTGTGTGTTAGTTGATCAGATGCTGTCAGCTGTTCTCACAAACAACTAAAAATGGGCCTTAAAGAAAGACAATCTAGTAGACTTTAGGAATAGGCCACCAGTAAGGTTTTGTGTAGACCTCTTCCCACTGAACACTTTAAACTCCCATATGAGAGAATTTTATTCTGTTCTCTTGATTTCTCTTGTTGTATCCAAGCCTTGTAGCAGATGCAATGCAGTGGTAACACATTGATTTACTGTTCCAATAGCACTCATCCCATCATGATGGGGGGACGTATTTCAGGCACAAATTAAGATTTCCCATTTTGGTAACATAATGCATTTGAAGTGATTGATTTGCTGGTATTTTTTTCCTTGAAAGTAAAGAAGGAGTAATTTTGTTCAGATTAGCAGTCTGAGTGAGGCTGTTTATCTGGATGAAGTTACTTGAACATGTAAGTATTTGAGAGTTGAGGCCCTCATGGGCCACTAAAGTGTGGTCTCTGGTGACTTTCTGAAAAGCCCATAACTGCTGTAATAGGCCAGGAG